TGTTGCAGCCACCATACTTTTTTCAGCCTGGGGGAGACTGTTGCTCTCTGGTCAAATGAGAGCATCATAGGAGGTGAAGGTGGTAAGGCAAGCTGGGGTGAACAGAAGAATCTGGAGGGCAGTAAGCAGCAAGGGCCCTGGAGTGACTGGGGCTTCAGTGAGCCCTTAGCCCTGCGCTGAGTGCCCAGCTGGGCAATCCCCACTCCCATTGTTATCTGGAAGTTTAGGGTGGAGCCTCAGGAAGAAGTAGCAAGACCCTCAGGAGAAGAGATCCAAGCTGCTGGACAGACACAGTGGAAGGTAAACAGGGCACAGGCAGCTCAGGCCCTACTGAGGACTCTTTTAATGTTATAGCCTATGGGAACAAGACAAAAACCCTTCACAGGGCACCCACTGACATCTCTGTAATGGGCAAGAGCTGACAACATGCAGTTGCAAGTCAGGAAAACCTCAAGGCCCTGTGGGTTGGGATAGCCCATGTCTTCTTCCCTGGGCTGAGTGTATCACTCTGAGTCAGCTAGCATCCCAGGCTTGTAATCTAGGTCCAGAAGTGTTTGGGCTGTTGTTCCCGAGACACACAGCAACCCACAGCACAGATGCGGCTTTCCCACCAGCACATGCAGAATGGCTTCCACGCTCCATGGCCAACAGGAAGATCGTCCTGGCTTCAGGGAGATGGGGACAAGCCTAGACAGACCTCAGTTCTCGCTCTGCTGCTGCCCTGGAAGGCACAGAAGAAGGCAGCTGCGCTCCAGCTGGAGAAGTCAGCTTCTTCTGCAGCGCTTCCTCTGACAGGGCCTGGTTTCTGGGCTCGTGGCACCAGTTGTGGCTGTGCCAGAGGGAGGTCCGGGGGACTTCCAGCGACTGCAGTTCATGCTCAGGACCCAGCCCAGCTTGTTATGTAGCACTTGCTTGAGGCCAGGGGGCAAGGGCAGGCCCTCAAGGGTGTCCCCTGAGTTTGGCCGCAACTGACGCAGGCGATAGCAGCACAGGTATTGCAGGGAGGTGGAGCTGGCACAGGAGCGGATGACTTTCATGCTGCTCTTGGCAGCTGTGGAGCACACCATCGGGTAAAACCTTCTGTTTTGCAGCCGAGTGGCAGCCACTCCTGAAAGGAAGACTCAGCCTGAGTGCCATGTAGGTCATGTGCCAGGAAGCTCCTCCCATAATGCGCCAAGGTGAAGAGCTCATGCTACTCTGAACAGAACACAGGCTCACCTCTGGCCTGCTAACCCCAGCTTGGCTTCAGCCACATCCACCCTTGAGAGCTTCAGACCACAGACTGCCTGACCCCACCCTAGAGGCTCCCCTCTCTGCTCTCCAGGGTCACCCTCACCTATGCACTTCCTGTTCTTGAAGAAGGTCAGTGTCCCATGCCAGGTATCCAAGTGTACGCCAATAATAGAGCCCTGGCCGAAGCGTGAAGAGAAGCTTGTCTTGTCACCTTTGTGATGGAGGAGCCCTGGGAGCAGCAGATGGGTAAGCCTGGGAGAGGTCTGTAGCACTGCTAGCCCTACCCACAACCCAGGCAATACACACCAGTATAGGAGAGGCCCCAGCTGTCTTCATCCCTGCCAAGCAGGCTGCAGAATGTGTGGTGGTACTTGTCCAGGTCTACATCTGATGTCCCAATGCCCACCATCTGCAAACAGCAGGGCTGGGCTAGTTAGGTGCCTAGGGGCAGGGCCCATGGCAGCTACCCTCTTGCCTGGCCATTTACCATGTCAGTGCCATACACAGGAGAGGTCATCTTGATTTCCCAGAAGTGCTGGCCATCCCCTAGCTCCTTAGTGCCCCGAATGGCCGCAGTGCCGCAGCTGTACTCCACGTGAAAGCTGACCTTACGGTTGTCACAGCTCAGCAAGGCAGCTGAGGACTTGTTCAGGTCATCCCAGACCCAATCAAAATCTGGAAGACACAGGGCCCAAACTAGGCAGAGCTGGAGCAAAGCTGTACCTCCTCCAGAGAATGTGCCCAGCCCAGCCCGCCCCCCCTGGTGACAGGGCACTCACCCTCATCCTCCTCACCACAACGGCAGTCCCTGCCACGGTGTGTTGTATGTAGACTGTTGCAGAAGGTAGCCTCATTCTGGCCCTCACAGTCACAAAAGGACTCTCCTGTCACAGGCACAGCACTGGGGATGGATGGTGGCAGGGAAGAGTACTCAGGGTCAGAGTCTGAGTCGCTGTGCTGGGAGGGAAGGGGCAGATTGCTCTATTTATGGCAGCTTCCCCATGGCCAGGCTACCTGACCCCTTCTCATATCCACCAGAGAAGAATCCTGGGGTTCTCCAGTGTCCAGCATAAGCAATCTCAGTGCTAAAACTGACCTCCATGCCTGAAAGAGTATGGTGAAATGAGGAGGTGGCCTGAGGGTAACAGCTTCTCACTCGGCTTCTTAATGGAACTCTGAAACTCAATATATAGCTCTCAGTCCCATTTTTGCTCAGCTAGAAGCCCACATGAGACGGGGCTCTCCAGCGCCCACCTAGAGGTACCTCCAGGTAGCTTACAGTCTCCTAAATCACGGAGCTGGTGCTGCCAGTAAGGTCTAGCATCCAGCACCTCACAGCCTTAAGACCTAAGCCTTAGGATGTGTGCTTCCACCCCATGTAAGGTCACTGAAGGCAAAAGGAGCACACTTAATGAGTCCTAATGGACTAGTGTGGCTGCTTCAAAGGTGCAGTCTTTGAGGCTTGAGCTCAGTCCTCAGAGTCTGATGGAGGTGTAAACAAAGCTAGATTGGTCATATTCAGCTGCTCTGCAGGCCCTTGGGTCCCTGTTTTGATGCTAGGCTAGCTGGCTTGGCAGTCCCTGATGCTTTGGCCTCTAACTCCTTGAGCTGTCTGGCCCTACCATGACGCACACAGTCCATGACCCTTCTATAACCTGAACAGACCGCCACATAAAGTCTACCGTCCACCCCAGAGTTACATCTATCCAGCCACATAGCCAGCCCTGTTACAGCTACCAGGTCTTCATTGCATTCTCTAGATGGGAGCATTCAGCCAACAAGAGGAGCTTGGTCCAGATCTTTCAACCCATATTCTTTTCACAATACCCAGGTTCTCCACTATCCTGTCTTCTGCCTGCAATATCACCGGCTCTCGAAGAGGGCACCAAATCCCATACCATATCCTAAGAACCATCATGGTGGTTGGACAGTACCACAAACAAGTGAGGCCAGCGACAGCTGAGGGGAGACTTGAAACTGACCTCCAACTCCAGGCTGTGTAGTTGGAGTAGTGACTCCACAAAGAGCCAGACAAAGGATATGTAGTCAACCAAGGTGAACTTAGGCACCTCAGAAGCCAACAAGAACAGCTATCTTGCCTAAAGGAAAGGCTTGTACCCCAGATAGAGCAGACCTTGTACCCACCGACAAAGTTCGGGTCCCCTAAAGCCAAGATAAATCCACTGAATCAGGAATCAGGGGATAAGGTAAATCTACCTAGGACAGGAGGGAGGGAGGAAGGGATGTTCAAGCCAACAAAGGGCCCAGGGACACCAGGAACTCACTGCCACCTGACTACATGGCTGCAAACTCATTGCTTGACAGGCATGTGTGTGTCACTGCTTCCATCCCTCAGTGATGACTGTGAGACAGGAACAGGCACACAGGCTGCTCCAGGGTACATTGTCATCAGATCTAGCTGAAAATTTGGGCTGACCTCTCAAGCTCTGAAGCCCCCAAGAAGGGTCTAGGACACTGCTGACCAACTCAGTAATCTACAGCTTCCAAGTTTTCCTCACAACCTGGTGAGGGACTCTGTGCTACAGGGAGCTGTGACATCAGAGTAGAGGCAAGGAAGGGCAGAGCCAGAATACCAGTCCAGTATAGCAAGACAAATGAGGAGCCACCCCCAAGAGCCTAGTCAGGTGCATCAAGCTGGTCCCTGCCCTGTGCCTTGCATTCCTGGGCCTCCCTGTGCCTTAAGTCGGCCACAAAGGAAGTCTTGGAAATTTGAACTTCAAGAACTACAGATTTAAAAAATTTTTGATGACCTGAGTTTGATCCCCAGGGTATGAAATGGTAGAAGGAGAGAACTGACTCCTGCAAGTTGTCCTGACTGCCACATGCTCACCATAGCACACATAGCCCACACAATAAATAAACTGCCTTAACTCCAAGGCCAGCCTGTGGGACAGTGTGAGACTATTTCTAAAAGTAAAGAAGCTGGGCATGGTGGAACACGCCTTTGATCCCAGAACTTGGGAAACAGAGGCAGGCACATCTCTTGAGTTCAAGGCTAGCTTGATCTAGATCCAGGAAAGCCAGAGTTACACAGAGACATCTCAAAAAGGAAAAAAAATCACGGATCCTTAAATGAAGTGAATATTTATACACAGGAGTATAAAGTGAGTATCTGTGCAGCAAAAGAAACATCCAGGGTTATCAAGAAGGCTCAGCATGTGTATGCTTGCTACTGTACATCAAGGACAACCTAAGTTTGATTCCCAGATCCCAAATAAAGGTGGAAGGAGAGAACAAACTCCACATAGGTCTGTCAACTACCTATTAACTATGGCACACAAAAACAAAAATATTCAGAAAGTGGGTACCAAGTTGGCAACAACCATTATGGAAACTGGCAGGGCTGATGAGCAGGCATCTGTTGTACACTGACCAGCACTGTCCAGGACTTACATTCCCGGGGCCAGGACCTCTATCCATCTTGAGTCTCTGTCACCCTCAGGCTACACGATCTTTACCAGGCCAAAGAGCCCTCCTTCCGAGCACGATATACCAGGAGACTGTCTAGTCACCTACCTCAGTCCTTTTTACTCCCCATCCATACACTGGTCATTCCCATCTTGCTACTGGGACCTACCTGCCCATCAGAGTCATAGCCCCAGTTAGTGGTGCCTGCCAAAGCCACAGCTCGGGCATCTGCGTCTCGGCGGGCTGCACTCAGAACAAAGTGCCAAGCCCTGCTACTCCGTGGACGCCGGGCCATAGTGGAAAGGACCTGGAATAAAAAAAAATTGTAAGCCTTAAAGACATGTAATGTATCAGAAAACCCAAATCCCACAATACCACCCCCTGGCACTTCTGGGCCACGTGGCAGGCTAGGTCATAGACCCACCAAAGGATGGGGACCCCAGCGCCCCAGACACTGAGCCTGGAGTTCCTGGGCTCCAGGAACTCCCGTAAGCTCATACCTGGCTCCAATATCTGAGCACCTTAATCAAGCCGAGGGCGATGGTGTGAAACACAACCCAGACACCCATAACTCTGGAGATGCCCCGACCCATCTCTACATTCCGTTCAGGAGCTGCTGCCCCTCAAGCATATGACACTTAACTTGCTCCTCCTCCGCTGTCCACTTTGGCAAATGGCATCCCCAGCATGCAGTTCCTCATGCCAGAAACACGGCTGTCATCCACTCCAGACACCCCTTCTTCCAACACACCTGAAGTGGTTCCTCCTTGTCGCCAGAGACCCACTGCTTGCACCACACAACTCCCCCTGACCCATCCCGCTCCACACACTACAAACCCAGTTCAGTCGTTGATACAACCTTAAACTCTACTCGGGCCTTGACGACGATCTTGGGACAAAATGCAAGGCTGCGGGAGGGCTGGACCTCCTCTCCCGAGTGGACTGTCTGGGTCTAACAAGTCGGCTCTGTCCTAGTTGCCTCCCATCCCCTGCAGACCCACTGCACTACCCTACCTCGCCCCGGCCACCCACAAAGGGGCCGAACGCCGCCGCGCCCAACACCCCGCGGCAGTGGGGCTGGGTGAGCGCCGCACAGGAGCACACAGTAGGAACCCAATGAATGAACCAGAGACGTCCCGGGCCGCGGCCACGCTCGGCCTCCGCGGGGCCAGAGGTTGCTTCCTTCCCTCGCCAGAGGCTCGCGGATCTCGCTACGGCGTTGTTGCTGGCACCTGGCTCCGAGGTCTCCGCCCAGAAACCCGAGCGCCACCACCGGAGAACAAAGAGGGGCCGGTTTGACCGCCGGCAAGGTCAGCGCGCCGACCGCCGGGCCTGGCCGGGCTGGGCCGGCGCGGCTCACCTGCGGCCAACGCGCTCCGCCGGCGCTGACCCACTTTCCGTTCCGGCCGCGACGCAAACAATCCCCGCCCCCGCGCCGCATTGGCCGGGCAGCCGAAGGCGGGCTCTTCCTAGGCTTCTCGCGGGGGCGGGTCTCGCGAGACAGAACTGCTGTCCAGAGGCTTGTACGACCTGTCAATCCTAAACCAAAGTTCTTACTGGTTCTTGCTAGAGCGGTCAAAAAGATGCTTGCTGTCTCATTGGGCAAGCATGCGGAAGTATATCTGTGTCCGTGGCGTCATCATCAGTTGCCAGGATCGGGCCTTCTTTAGGTGACCTGATTGGCTAAAGGATACGGGGCGGACTCTTGTTGCCATTGGTTCAAAGCTCGAAGAGTTAGGAGAGGAAGCGGAAGGAAGCCGCGAAGATCAGCTGGTGGCGGGATGGAGGCGGTGGCTGGTGAGCAGGCGGGTCGGCCGAGCGTGAGGGGTCGGGGAAGTCTGGAGGCGGGCTGAGTGCAGCGGCTCACCGGCGGCCTGCACACAGAGTGGCCAGAGATGCCGATGCATGCCATGGCGGTTAAGGCTGCTCTGGGTCCTCAGCTTTACTCTTCCCAGAGAGCTGGAAGCCCTCTGCGGACTCTGACGTGGAGTCTGCATTCGTGCACAGGTGCCGCTTAGCTGTGCTAAACTCTATTAGTTTCCTCTGTGTCTGTTGAAATTAGTTGGCGGTTTGAGGATTTATCATAAATGAGCGTTCGTACACGGCGTCACGTGTGCACGTGCCTTCATTTGCTCCTCTTCAAACAGAAGTGAGACCCACACAGGTCTGGGACTTCTAGAACACCTTCTACCTGGGTGACTTTGTCTTTGTCGCTCTCCCGGACACCCCAACCCTTGTTCCTCACCAGAGCCCGGGAACCTGGCCGGCGTGCGAAATATCATCCTTGTCCTCTCTGGAAAGGGGGGCGTTGGGAAAAGTACCATCTCCACGGAGTTGGCCCTGGCGCTGCGCCACCAGGGCAAGAAGGTGAGGCTCCCACCAGGATCGGCACCTGCCGCACTTACTCTCTCTAGCTCCCAGCAAGCCTGGAAGGCTTCTTTCCACCCCTCAGCATCCGCCTTCTTTCAGGTGGGGATCTTAGATGTAGACCTATGCGGTCCCAGCATCCCACGCATGCTCCGTGCACAAGGCAAGGCAGTGCACCAGTGTGACCAGGGCTGGGTGCCTGTCTTTGTGGATCAGGAGAAGACCATCTCCCTCATGTCTGTGGGCTTCCTGCTGGAAAACCCGGATGAGGCAGTGGTGTGGAGAGGTCCCAAGAAACATGGTAAGAACTCGGTGAGGAGGAGCTCCCAGTTGACTCTTCAGTACCTCTTTATTGTGGCTACTTTCCTGTCTTTCGTGGCTGCTTCCTTTGGGTAAAGTCAGAATCCAGCCCTGGCCTCTTGGTATTGGAGACTTTGTCCCATTGGAATGCTTCCACTGTGTTTGCATGCCCACCCAGCAGAATATACATACCCTTATGTCCTAAGAAGCCCCTCACAGACTCTGTGACAACTATATCAGCCTCTGAATGGAGAGAGTCACACGAGATCAAGGGAGAAGCTGTGTTTGGCATTTGTTGTGAAACCATTAGCCACTCCAAGTTCATCTCTTAGTTAGGAAGGGAGGTCTACTGAGAGCCTTGTCCTCACTCAACACATGGATCTGAGGCCCCACAGTGTGTGCTGGACCAACTGCTTCAAGGAAGTAATTTTAAGCCACCCTGACTGCAGTGAGAGGCTCCCTGGGAAGAATAGCACACTTAAAGTGAATGCCTTGCTGCTCCTGGGTGTGCTGGCACGGTGTCTCATTCCAGGCCATTGAGGACACAGAAGCCCTTAGACTCAAGGTTCCATCCTCTCCTCGGGCCTTCGAGGGGGTCAGCTACAGGTGGTACAGCTGCTGGGAAGCAAGGGGGGCCTAGAAACTCTGCCTCCCCGGTTACCTCGCAGATCAAGGACTCTTGCTACCATGTGTGGCAGGTAGTCCCATTGTTCCCTGGGAGCTGCCCGGTAGCAACTGGCGGATCCTGGGGCTGGACAAGATGGGCATCTATTGCCTAACCCTTTATCAGGTTACTTCTGGTCTCTGGGGTCTTTACAGCACTGATAAAGCAGTTTGTGTCTGACGTGGCCTGGGGGGAGCTGGACTATCTGGTTGTGGACACACCACCAGGGACTTCTGATGAGCACATGGCCACTGTGGAAGCCCTGCGCCCCTATAGGCCCCTGGGAGCCCTCGTGGTCACCACACCACAGGTACCACTGGCCTTGCCTCCATCCACATCTGGGGGGTGTCTGTCTGTCTGTGAGTCTGTGTTCTGGTTGGGCTGGGCTGTGGTGGGCCATGTTCTCTTCTGGTTACTTGCTTCTTGGCTGACATGTGGCTGACTGGCCCCCTCTCTCTAATCTACAGGCAGTGTCTGTTGGGGATGTGAGGCGGGAGCTGACTTTCTGTAGGAAGACTGGACTGCAGGTCATAGGGGTCATAGAGAACATGAGCGGCTTCGCCTGCCCACACTGCGCTGTGAGTCTCTGAAGATTGGTGGGCTATTTTAGGGTCTGAGGGGGTACAATAAAGGGCAAGCAGTCAGGGATTTTGAGTAAGTAGGCCCCCTGCCCATCAGTTCAGGTAAGTTACTTCCTGGTTAGAGAGGACACTGTTAGTACCTGGGCATTGTCTCTGGACCAGCTGGAGCTCTCACCCTGGCCGTGAACCTCAGCCTGGTGACTGGCTCTGCAAACTGGACCCTCACAGCCCTTGTTTCCTAGGAGTGCACCAATGTCTTCTCCAGGGGCGGTGGAGAGGAACTGGCCCAGCTGGCAGGAGTCCCCTTTTTAGGTAAGTGTCAAGAACAAGCCAGCTGGGGCTCCAAATTCCATCTACCAGGCTTCTGAGTGGGTCTGACCGAAGTATTGGGCCTCAGTGTAAGTGTCCAATTTGAGGCTACGTGGACTGCCCACTACCCAGCTATATTTTGGGAGTGCATGTGTCAAGGATACCAGGCACCTGCCACTTGTCCCACATTGTTTAAGTGGGAGGTCACCATGGCCAGCAGCTTGAGCTTCCAGCATCTTCCTCATCTGCTGCAGTTTTTTGCTAGGTCTCTGCTTAATTTTATTTGTTGATCAGGGAGGGGGTTGTGGGTGTGCATATGCCACAGTGTACATGTGGAGGTCAGGTGACAGTTTGTGTGGGTCACTTATCCCCTACCAGGTAGGTTCTGGATATTGAACTCGGGTCATCAGGGTTAGCAGCAAGCACCTTTGCCCACTGAGCCATCTTGTCAGCCCTTCCCTGGCTTTTGTTGTTGCAGGCTCTGTTCCGCTAGATCCCCAGCTTACCAGGAGCCTGGAGGAGGGCTGTGACTTCATCCAGGAGTTTCCCAAGAGCACTGCGTATTCTGCACTCATTTCCATAGCCCAGAAAGTTCTGCACAGGATGCCTGCTCTGCTCTCCTGACAGAGAGCCTCCAGGTGCTGTGTGCTCTGTTACAGCCTATAGGAACTCTGGGAGCAGAGGTCCTCAGGACTGTAGTGGGACCTGCTGCAGTTGCTGGCCAGAGCAATGGCTGTTCTATGTGATTACCTCCACGCAGAGATCTTCCTGCAGGCCCAGTGACATTTTCCAGTGGTGACATTTCCCACTAGTCTGTAGCTGAGGGGATGGCTTGGGCTCTAGTTTCTTGAGATAATTGCAGCCTTTGCCTCCAGCCTATGGGCTTTGTCCAGCCCTATTCCCTTCTGCCCCAGATCCACAGGCTGCTCAGACAGCCACACCATATACAAGCTGGACAATACTTTCTCATCCTGTATGACTTTGAGTGCGCACAAGGGCTGTACTTTGGAGCTGTCTATAATACACCGTGTGGTTTACAGGCACATCTGGTAATACAGGAATCTGCCATTAAACGTACCACCCCACCTTGTGAAGAACCCAGCATCCAGACCCCTCTGTCCTCAGTGAGATGGCTTTTGCTACACTGTAAGGCTGGAACAAACAATATCAGTAATGATATAAAGGGGAGGGGCCTGAAGACATGTTGAGGACATCTGTCTTGTCTTGGAGAATGGGTGTTGGCATATTGTATTTTCAGAAACCTATTGCTGAGGGCCTGGGGCAGCTGGAAGCCATAGGGTGGGTGTTCAAGTATGACAGGTCCTCTCCTTCCTGAAAAGGTCAGGAAAGAAAGCTCTGGAAAGCAAAGCAGATGGTGACCTGTTACTTCTTCCTGGGGCAAAGCTGAGGTCTTCAGGAGAGGCTGGGGGCCTGGGGAGCCTTGCAGGAGGTCCTGCAATCAGTTGGGAAAGCACAGCCTTCAACTCTATCTGCCCCCACCCCCAGCATCACTGGTTTTGCTTGGTTGGTTGGTTGGTATTTCGAGATGGTTTCTCCCTGTAGCTTTAGAGTCTGTCCTGGAACTTGCTCTGTAGACCAGGCTGGCCTCGAACTCACAGAGATCCGCCTGCCTTTGCCTCTCAAGTGCTGGGATTAAAGGTGTGTGCCACCACCGGGCTGGCATCACTGTTATTGTCCAACAATGGGACAGTGTGGTGACCTTCATACCTGTGCTCTGACTACCTGGGATCTGGACAGCTGTGAGAATCCCACCCGGTCACAGTGTATTGCTCTGAGGGAGGAATGCAGTGCCAGGGTTTGGGGAGACTTTTTAGGTTGGAGGAGAGGGTCCTAAGAAGCCCAAGAAGACATGGATACAGCAAGGTGAAGTGGTACATGTGTTCCCAACACCAGCAAGGCACAGACTGGGCTCAAGCAGAGCTAGGGCAGGATAGAAGGGGTGGGGACAAAGGACAAGAAGACCACAGGTCACTTTTCCCAAGTTCACACTCAAGGTCACAAGCCATGCTTAGTCTTGCTTTAATTGTTGCCAGCAGGGAGTGCTGCTGAGAACTTCACCTCCTGGTTGAGCCCTTGTGCACCTGGCCTGTGCCCACCCTTTCTGAGTTTAGGCCACATAGATGCCAGTACTGCCATGATTCTAGGAAGTGAGCAAGCAGCCCAGGACCCGTCCCCTAGAGATGGGCAGGTATTCTCCCAACCCCCTGCTGGCTTCAAGAGCCAGCTTAATCTGTTAACAGTGAGACACTGTCCTGACCACAGGATAGCAGTAGGCCAAACCAGGCCAGTAGTAGCCAGGGTCAGCAGTGCATAAAATGTGTTTCGCTGATGTCTCGTAGTTCGAGACCTGAGACATTAGCAGGGCCAGCACAGGTGATGTTGTTGTAGGTGTAGACTGGCTGGCAGTCATCCCCCTCACAAACAGTCTGAACAAAGCGGGGGACAATGCTGGGGTTCTGCAGGGCAAAGTCACGCAGAGCCTTGAGGGGACAGCGGCAGTCCCAGGGGTTGGCATCAAGCCACAGGCGTTCCAGGCCAGGCTGTGGCGAAAAGGTCTGCAAAGAGTTATTCCTGAGGCTGAGGTAGCGAAGCCGCCCCAGTGGTGAAAAAAGGCCTTCAGACAGTGCCTCCAGGCGATTGTGTGAGATGTCCAGCCAGAAGACCCGCTGCAGGGGGCTCAGGACATCCTCAGACAGTGCTGACAGCCGGTTATTTGAGAGAAGAAGGTACTCCAGTTGGCCAAGGCCCTGGAAGAGCCGACGGGGCAGATGTGTGAGCTGGTTGGCAGTAAGATCAAGCTCCAGGAGCTCAGAGAGCCCTGCCAGGCTCTGTTCTTCAGTGATAGAGATACTGTTGCCCCTGAGGAAGAGCCTGCGCAACCCTGAGAGACCAGTGAAAGTATGCAGGCGGATGCGGCCCAGGCAGCTGTGCTCCAAGTGCAGACTGTGCAGCTTGCTCAGACCCTGGAAGACCCGCTCTGGGAGATTTCTCAGACAGTTGCCAGAGAGATTCATAACAGCCACATTGAAGAGGCCAGAGAAGGCACCCATCTTGACCTCGTGGATCTGGTTATCATTGAGTGTCAGTACCTCCAGCTGCCCCAGGCCCTCAAATGTCTTCTCACCTAGCTGCCGGATGCGATTGTGGCCAAGCTGCAGTTCCTCTAGGAAGTGTAGATCTTTGAAAGTACGTGGCCGCAAACTAGTGATGGCATTGTGTGCCAGGCGCAGGACATGCAGACCCAGCAGGCCTGGAAAGGTGTCTTCCAAGAGGCCTGCCACACGGTTATGGGACAGGTCCAGCCAACGCAGTGCCTTCATGCCCAGGAAGGCACCAGGGGCCACAGCTGTGACAAAGTTGCGGTCCAGGTACAGCTTCTGCAGCCTGGGCAGGTGTATGAAGACGTTGGCTTTAACACTGCGCAGTGCGTTCCTGCTCAGGTCCAGCTCTCGCAGCTCACCCAAGCCACAAAAGAGCGAAGGCTGCAGGTAAGCCAGTTTGTTGCCAGCCAACACCAGCTCACGGAGGTTACCCAGGCCCTGGAACACCATGTCGGGCAGTACCACTAGGCTGTTCCAACCCAGGTTGAGGTCCCAAAGGTGACCAAGACCCTGGAACAGCCCGTCTTCCAGCCGGCCCAGGAGGTTGTTGCCCAGGCTGAGTGAAGCCAGGTTGGGGGTGTGTGTGAATAAGCCGGCAGCGAGGCTCCGGAGCAGGTTACGCTCCAGGTGCAAGTGGTAGAGGTTCTGCAGGCCCAGCAGTGCCTGTGGCTCCAGGCTGTTCAGCCAGCTGCCCTGCAGGTTGAGGAAGTCCAGGCTGGACAGGTTTTGGAAAGCCGCTGAGGGAATGGAGGAGAGGTTATTGCCGTCAAGCCACAGGGCCCTGGTGCTGACTGGGATGCCGTCAGGCAGCTGTGTGAGGTTCCTCGAACTGCAAAAGACGCTGAGCTCATTTGTGTAGTCATCATAGCTGCAGGTACAGATGTCAGGGCACTGGGGGCCCTCAGCATCTGCTGATGCTCCAGGGTCTGTCTCCTGCAGGTCACAGGGGCCCAGTGCCACCAAAAAAGCCAGAAGCACCACCAGGACTGGGCCTCCTGTAGGGAGAAGGGCTTGGCAAGGAGGTGCCCAGAGGACTGTGGCCCAGGATATGAGCCAATCCCTGGGCTTCCCTAGTCCCCAGCCACTGTAAGAGAAGGGTGTTGTTTGTGCACTAAGGCCTGTGGTCATCCCACTTTGAGACCAAGCAGACAATGGTAGGACAGCCAGATCCTATCCTTTGAAGCAACTTCACTTTTGCAACTCATGGAACCAGCAAGTGGTGGTCCCCATCTCACTACAAGGACACCGAGGGCTTGACTCTTCCATTTCACCCTGGTTTCACAGGCAACCTGGGCCCTGGCCACTAGGCTATGTGGCAGTGTGTGTCCTCTGGGGTATATACAACAGGCTGAAAAATAAAACTGAGCTGCTGGCCAAAACCTGGCCATTCCAGAATATTCTGGAATAGACCCGGGCAGCATATTCATATTCATTTGTGGTCCTCGGTGCCTGGACAGCAAGCTGGGCACTCCCTACCTGTTAGTCCCCCAGATGGGGGAAGCACACTGGTGCTAAAACCCTCCCCCCTTCCCCTCCCCCCCCCCCCCCCCTGTATATTATATGCAGGCTATACCACCTGCTGGCAGAAGAATGGGGTCCATTCAACCACACATCAACTCATATGGACCTGGCTGGCCCCTCAGTTATAAATCCACCTCGGGTGTGCTGAGAGCCCCAGCTCAGGTTGGGCAGGGCAGCACTATGTCCCGCGGACCTATGCAGTATGCTTCCGGTATAACTATGTAATGGTTGTTTTGGAGTGAGACTTCGTGGGGCAGCCCCAGGCATCATGGTAGCGCGACAAAGGCAGGCAAGGAATAAGACACTGGATTCCTACTCACCCAGGGCCAGGCCCCCAAGAAGAACAGTAGCTAGAAGGGTCACAGACTTCGGCTTACACTATCCCACCAAGCTGTGAGGTAGGCTTGTGGGGAATACTGAGCCCTCGTTTCTGCACCTTGTCATACTCCAGGGGTTAGGTACTTGTTCCTGCTGGCCCTGCCTTCATTTGGTCCTCCCCACCCCTCCCCGGTACCACCACCAAGGGAAAGTGTAACAGACCCTGGTGTCAGGATTAGTGGTATCCAAGACCCAATCAAGAAATCCCACCAGCCCACCAAGTTCAGCTTTTCCCAGTGGGCTCAGGGTTGAGGGCCAGCTCCTCTCAGAGCAAGTGGCAGGGGACATGGATTCCTCACCTGTCCTCTGGGCCATCGTGCCTTGTACAGAACTGGCTGCAGGCAGGCAGTGAGAGAGGGCCGCTGCCCTGTGGATTTCCTCACTGCCAGCAGCTGGCAACCTTAAGCTGGCCCTGCCCCACACTCATCTCCTTTAACCCTCTCGTGCTGGGTAGCTAGTCTCCACAGCAGGACTTCTGGGTGCAAAGGGTGCAGGGGAGAAAGTCTCCCTCAGGGGCTCTGAAGGCTTCTTCTGTAGGTGTTGAAGATAGAGGCTTGTTGGAGTAGCCTTACAGGATTTGGTGCTCAAAGTAGAGAGGCCTGTCTCCAAGTAAGTTCAGCCAAGGTGAGGGTACCCTAGGGGCTCTCTCAGGTCCTGGTGAATCCTCCACTCACCCTCATACTGAGCAGATTGCTGTCAGGGTAAGCAGGTGCTGCCTGTTTCTTTATAGCCCCGCCTATGTTTCTAGCATGCTGTCTGAGCTGGGATTTCTTTTTTTGGTTTTTGTTTTGTTTTTGTTTTTTGGGACAAGGTTTCTCTGTGTAGCCCTGGCTGTCCTGGAACTCACTCTGTAGACCAGGCTGGCCTTGGATTCACAAAGATCTGCCTGCCTCTGCCTCCCGAGTGCTGGGATTAAAGGTGTGTACCACTACAGCCTGGCTTGAGCTGGGGTTTCTTAACAGCCGGAGTGGGCCCTATCATTTGTGCTTCCTAGCCCAGGGGTTTGTCCAGGGCCCAAGTCTCAGCCCTCTGACCTCTAGGTCAGCTGATGTCTGGCCATTGCCCCTCCCCCCAGGGCCTCTTCTAGGAACACCTGGCAGGGCCACCAGCTTCCTCATGTTTGCTTTCCCCAACACAACCCTCCTAGGAAAGGCTGCCAGAGAGACAGTGGGGCACCCAGGTCTTAAGGGCCAGGGCCAGCCAGCTTCCACAGGCTTCTTGCTGTCCTCTTCAGCAAGGAGGGTCTAACTACCTACTACTTCCTAGCCCCAGGGAAACAGGCTGCCCTGGGAGAGATTAAGGGGCACTCAACCTGGCCCTGGCTCCACTCACCCTGCTGGAGCCACATCTCAGCTTCTTCCTCCAGGGCCTGAGAGCTGTGACCTGGCGGACAGGACACTCCGAAGCTCAGCAAACCTAGCAAACCGTGCCTTGAGCTCTGTCCCTTTGCCCTGCCTGGGTGGTGGGAATGCACACGGGAGGGGCCAGGAAAGGCAGTGCTTGAGTTTCAGGAGGGGCAGCTTCTCTGGGGGGTTGAGGGCCATTAGGGCCTATCTCTAAGCAGACAGAGGAAGTGGACAGGTCTGGGAGGGTCAGGGGGCTATGGCTTCCACTATGGTGCCCCATCTCTAGGGCATTTTCCAGGTTATTCCTCAGCTTCTTTTCTGAGAAATTATAGATCGGCAAGGGGTAGGGCTCCGCCCAGAGTCACAGAACAGTTTACACAGTAAAAGTGCGGCCTCAGCAGGGCTGTGGGGCCAGTGGCCAGCCTCAGTCTCTGTTGGGAAAAGGGGACAGGCAGCAGTGCCCATGAGTCCCTGCTTTACTCTGGGCTAGGGTCTCTTCCTGTCCACTCCAGGCACACTGTATGTGGTGTGGAAGCCTGAAAAGGCTTTTGACAGCTTGGTTAGACTCAAGTCAGCCTCCTGAGCCCTGCTGCCACACAGCACAGTAAACAACTGAAGCGTTCCCTGCTCCCCAACAGCCCAGTTATTCTGTCTAGTGCTTGGGGCCTGGGGAGCCTTGGTGGGGGGCTGGGGGGCCTGGGCGGCCTGGGCTGCCTGGGCTGGGCCTGTGTCTAGCCCTGAATATGCCAGTAGATGCAGAGCGTACCACATCTGCTTCTCCAGATGTCACCCAAGATGGACACTCAGCCGCTTCATCCAGGACCACTCACAGTGAAGCTATGGATGGGGATTGTGAGGCCTGAAGGGGATCTGGGTGTTTCTGTGGGGCAGGGCTTGAGGGTCCACCGTGCAGTACATGTCTTCCCTAATGGCCCTGTCTCTGTGTCTGGTAGCTGGCTGTCCTGTTGTGTTTTCTGGGTCCCTGGTTAGGCGGAGCACCCTGAAGCAGTCCAGCCATCAGACCCAGAGGTTTGGGCACATTTGTGTTTTAGCCTCTTGTCAGTTTCTATCAGATCATTTGTGATTCTGAGATTTCTAAATTCCAGATGCAAGTCCTTGGCAGTAGCTCTAGGCTTTGCATTCCTGTGGTCCCACTGAGGTCTATGTGTTCACACACCTGTGGTCCCACTAAGGTCTGTGTGTTCACACACACGGTGCTAGTATGGAAGCTAGGACCTGAATATGCAAGGCTCTAACACTCCCCCAGCCAGAGTAATTCCATGTTTTAGTGGGGTTTTGGGGTTTTTGTTTTTTGTTTTTTTAAGACAAGGTCTCAGGTAGCCCAAGCTTGCCTTGAACTTGATAAGTAGCAGATGTAGCTTTAAAATCCTGGTTCTCCTGCCTCCACTTCCCAAGGGCTGGGATTAAGCCACCATGCTGAGGCTTAGTTTGCATTTCTGTGACAGGACCTTGCTGTGTAGTCCAGACAATGATCAAATCACAATGATCCTCTTGCCTCATTGTCCAGAGTGCTGGGCTTACAGAAAAGACCACCATGACCAGCTAGCTAATCCTTCGTTTTTTATGTAGTTTGATTTATCAGATTAGAATTTTGACTCCTATTTGCATTTGTACCTAACCATGCCCCTTTAGGCACCTCACAGTCACCTTTATAACCTTCTATATTGCTATTGACAGCTCACCTTATATTGTTCTCTTGCTGTCTGGAAAATGACTGTATTGGAATTAGACCCCAATCCCTGCTCCTCCCGAGTCCTCAGAGATAGGACTTGCCACTGTCTCTGGTGCAGCTGCCATCTCAACAGGCTTCGCCATACATTGTGACGTCTGGGTGTCGGGGGCAAAGATCCCAAGTGAGTAACCAGCCTGATTTCTCCATATTCTGAGTCCAGTATGGGATCTTCAGTCATGGAGAGTAGCCAAGAGTATTGGCAATGGCCTGTAATGCTCGTGGGGAGGGGAGGTCTGTCCTAGAACTCACTATGTAGATAGAGATCTACCTGTTTCTGCCTCCCAAGTGCTGGTCTATGGGATTTTAATGGTCAATAACCCACAAAGAGGGAACCCATCCCTGGTATTGGAGTTTCTGTTTGCTAGCAAGTGGTGTCTAATTGGGATATTGTGCCCTTGCAGTGTCACTAAAACAAATTTTTAAAATCTATGTGTATTTATGTCTGCATGTATGCCTGGTGCCTTTGGAGGCCCAAAGATGGCATTTCCTAGAACTGCAGTTAAGAGACAGTTTTGGAGTGCTGTGTGGATGCTGGGAATCCAACCTCAGGGAGAAGCCAGTACTCCTGGGCTGAGCTCTCTCCAGCACTCTCCATACACGTATATGTTTTAGGAATCTTGTATGGCAGCAGGTCTCCAGGTTGCTTTTTCAAGAGGCCTTTAGTGTTAGTCATCCCTCTAACCCTTTCTGCCTGTCCCATCCCACCTCCATTATCCATAACTCCCTGTCCCATTATTCCCCTTGAGCCCTGTGTACCTCCAAAACCTGAAATCCCCTCCAAGGCCCTTTAGTAACTTCCAGACATCTGAGGGTATTCCAGATGCAACACACATCTGAAGCTTCAGAGCTAACGTCCACAAACAAGAGAAAACAACGCGTGTCTTTCTGAATTTGGGTAACCTCACTCAGAATGACTTGTTTGTTTGTTTTTTGGGTTGTGGCCTATAGCTAGCAGTTAAAGGTCATAATGTTTCTAATTCCATCCATTTGCCTATGAATTTCTTGGTTTTAGTTTTGTTTTCTGAGACAGGGTGTCTCTATAACAGCCCTAGCTTTCCTGGAACTCTATTTGTAGACCAGGCTGGTCTCAAACTCACAGAGATCCACCTGCCTCTGCCTCTAGAGTGCTGGGATTAAATGTGAGTGCTATCACCACCAAGCTTGCTGAACAGTTTTCTTTTATAATTTAACTTTATTGTATGTGCATTCATGTGAAGGTGTCAGATCCCTTGAAACTGGAGTTACAGGCAGTTGTGAGCTGCCATGTGGGTGCTCAGAATTGAACCCAGGTCCTCTGGAAGAGCAGCCAGTGCTCTTAATTGCTAAGCCATCTCTCTAGTCCCAGATGAACAATTTTTTACCTTCTCAGGCGTGCGCCACCAACGCCCTCCGTATTTTATATTTTGAGAACTGTTCGGTTCTATGCCCCATTTTATAACAGGGTTGCTTGTTTTCTTGATGTTCAGTTCAGGGTTTTGTTTTTAGTACTTTGTATATTCCAGATACTAACCCTCTGTCGGAT